CCTCTGATGCTGCTTGGCCTGCTGCGTTCATCCAGCTCTACACCTTGTTATAAAAATTGCTGATTTATTCCTTCTGGCTAGCATCCATGGGTGTGGCTTGTTATGAGCAATGACTAGTTACTAATTTGACTCTCAAACTGCCATAATTTCCAGTCATCCATTGCCACTCTTGTAGCCTTTCTGATACAGCCCAAGGTGTGGACTTATGTCAATGGGTCAGGAACTGGAATGTTTTCCATCTCCACAAACCTCACCTGGGGATGAAGTGGATTTATGTTCCAGGCCGGCTATGTTTCTGGGTGACCCTGGAATATGAAAGGAGGCCGCAGAGGTGGACAGCATGCCCCGCTGCATTGGCAAGCTGCTGAGGTTCTCTTTTTTTTTTTTAAAATACAAGATGACCCTTCTCTAGGCCTTACCTATTATAACCTCCTAATGCTCTCCACCCCTGCTCTATCCTTGCCAAATCATGCCCACTATGTCAACCTACACCATCATGGCCATGGCACTCGGTAGCTCCTATTCCAACTCATCCCACACGCATACTACAATCAACCCCTCCTTTCCAGCAGGCCTACACGTTAACATTTATCCTGAGCAGACCTCAATGACACAATGGAATTTAATTGACTGTCTATATTGAAAAACATCTAATTCATAAAATCTCTTTGCAACACTTAACCTTTCTTTTAATGTGCGTAATCCCTTATCTGTCGTGCTGTCATTTGTAGTCTGATGCCAATCTGCAACCATCAAATGGAAAAGTCTGATACCAAACTATGAAAATGATTGTGAAATCAATCATATAGCATTAACCTAGTAATGAAGACCCTCTGGTTTATGTCAACAGACAGAATGAAATAGCATTCAACGTTTTGCTTTCAATAATTTTTGAACAGGCAGGACTTTTAAATGCTTTACTACTTCTAACAAATGCTCTTGGCGTCTTTGAAAAGTGGTTTTTGTAGTTGATTCTGACAGCTCTGGTAATAATCTCAAATGAGCCCAACAGCAGTAATAGGCTTCTGCATTTTTAATGTATATTAATACCTACTTTTAACAATTCCAATGGTCATCCCATTGCCAGCAAATGGCATCTTATCTCCCCTGAATGTGTCTGCAGACTAGATCCAAAATGGGTTTACCTTGCATCTCCAAAGGCTGCCATAGCCCTGTAAATACATAATTGTTTACATTTGCTGGTACTGGACCTAATCTGCACGTTTTTTGGATTTCACACTCCCAAATCACCAAAATCCCACTTTGGTGAAGGCAACTAATAAATGGTGCAGCCAGTTCCGTGAAGTGTAACCAAAGAGAAACACGAGGCAGCCCTATTTTCCAACTCCAGCGTGTGCACACACCCCCACTCCACTCGTTTCCCCCCTCCCAAACATCCAAATAAAACTTAAAAGCTCTTTTTGGGGGCCGCATTTGGAATTTTAATGCCAATCCCCTACCTCCACCAGAGGGTCTCCTTCCTATGACAGGACCAGGTCCTACCTGGTTCAGTGGCTCAATGAGGCCAGTTGTCAAGTGTCCTGTCTGATGTAAATTCACTGAGCATGGACACTGATTCACAGAACTCAGTACCACCTCATGGCTTACAATGTATGTCAGTGAAGTTTGGAAGCAAACATTTTGAAAGTGTCAGTTCACTCATGACTTGAAAAGGGGTGGTTGTTTCTGTTTATTTTATATTGTTGGTGTGCTGATCATCTGTGCATCATTATTTATTAGCCCCTTGATTGAAGCCTATGGCTTTGTCATGTGTGTGCACATCATAATTGGCAGTCTGATTTTGTTGGAGGATGAGACTCTCTCAGCAGCCATTTGTTGTTTGCAGCCAGCATTCAAAACACATTAACCGAAGACAGAGCAGGACAATATTTCTTATGCTTACTATCATGCATTTTATCTGGGATAAAAATTATTCATCCAACCCAGCCACTTCAGAGGTCTTGCTGTATATGCAAGTTAATATTACACATGTTAGTCGGAGAAGGCATCTTGCCAACTCTCATTTCAAATTTGGTAAACCCTCAGCTGTTCTACATTGTGCTAGTGGTAGATTAATGGATTCTTAAGTGGAATTAGTGAATTTATAATTTAGCACCAGTTCCCCTTGGGTACAATTTGGATTAATTAGCGCCAAAGCTTCCTTCACTGTCATAAGGTGCTGTTTATCGATGTGATAGCTATGGGTAACCAGTGTGCTTGAGGCAAAACATTACGACAAAACTACTAACATTTCACTTGCAAAATATTATCGTTTGATATAGATAATTTCATAATCTCTTAAAATTGTAATCACGCAAAGCACTTAAGTATTAAATTTTGAGTTGCACAATTTGCCTTGTAGAATTGTGTGTAAAATAGTTTCACTCTTGCATTTTGTAAGTTTTTGGAATAACCTTGATGCTACAGTAGTGTACATTAATTCTTTTGTACAATGCTTGTACTTGCAGCTCCATGACAGGAATTCAAACTTTTGAGTTGTGAATTGCCTGTCATTGAAATGACCGAGTTTGGTTGTAGCTGGATCCTCTGATTGTTCCTTTGTGATCTGTTCCTCAATCTGCCAGAAAAGTTAGTTTGAGATCGGAGTCATAAATGAAAATGTTGAATCTTCACATATGAAGTACCCAGTTCATCATTTTGAGTGTCATTTGGGTGAATAACAGGAAAAAGAGAACACCCAGTTCAGTAATAACACTTTTATGTTCCTATAATTCTCAATCTGTCCCACACCATGACAAAAAGCAAAAAAAATCTTGAATTTTGGATACCATAGCATTGTTACTTCAAATTATCCAAATTGTATATTGTTGCTGTTATTCATCCTAACAGTTGCTGATTTGTTTTATTCATTGCTGTTCTGACTGTATGTTGGTAGTTGGTTACTTTCTGTCGGTGTGGTGGTGTTCGTGGTGGTTATTGTGAAACTCTATTGTAACTCTTTTTTTACAGTGAACATGCATTGCTGTATGTAGTAACACTGACAGCATAACCACATTGTAGAAGTTCATGATCTGTAAATCTGTTGGCATTCTTTAAATAATCTATTCTTTGAGCTCTGGACACAAGTGTACCCTATTTCAGTTTTGAGCACCTTGCTGTTGCCAGTAAGTTTCTGAACTATCTTGTTAGTCTTTCAAATTGCCTAGTTTTTCTTAAAGTCACATATTGACAGTGACATTATTAAAAGTCACTCTCATTGACTGACCAGTGAACTGTTGAAAAAGTGAATTACTATGCTCCACTTATTTGAAAATATAATTTCCTTCCTGTGACGACAATGATGCTTGACATATCGTCGATCAAGGCAAGCGTCAAATTGAGCCTCCAGCCCAAAGAAACTCTGGCTTTAGAGTTTATCTCCAAGTACCTGAATTTGTTCCATTTTTGACTTGGTCATGCCCATTTTCTTTTGAGGAAAAGAAATGACCCATACATGTTTAAGTTGTAGAGTTTAGCTGTGCATACCCATTGCTCATTTCCTCGCCAAATAGATTCCTTCAAGACACAGTTGCATGATCAGTTTGACACAGGTAGTTTAATCTTCAATATTGCAATTTAACAAAAAAATCTTGCATCTAATGTAGTCCAATCTAATTGTTCATCTGAGGGAGGAATTGCTTGAGGTTAGTTTTTGGAGAAGCTAGATGCTTACAGTAGAAGGTTGAGAATTGTGTATCCTCTTGTATTTGGTCTAATTGTTAGGGTAGGAGCAAGAATTTTCTATCATGTAACAAGGTCTGCCCAAGCAGTAATTGTATTTGTTGCCACTTTCCTCAGACTTGTTTGATTTCTAAACTGAGATTTCGATACAGTCCGCTTTTGTACTGTGTGCTTGCATTCATTTGAAGAGTGAACGGCAGAAGATTAAAACCATTTAAGTTGCTTTCCTCTGCTGTAACCAAGTATCAGTTTTTTTTCCATTTTATCCATTTTTACAAGAATTGATTTCTGTTCAGATGTCTGTTATCATGATACTAATCTCTAGCTACTTGTTGAGCACTTTAATTACAGTTGGAGGATTTTTTTTTAGGCTTTCCAACAGGAAGGGGGAATGGGTTAGGGTTAAGTGAATAAACATGGGGATGGATGTGGCTGGCATAGGACACACAGGTGAGTGAGGAGCAAAATGGAGAATTACACCTCACTGGAATGACCTCCGATTTCTGAAGTAAAGCACAGCTAATCTTGGAAAGCCCCAGGCAGATGTATAACCTAGTCTCCTAAAGTTGGCCTACAGTAAGAAATGGAATATATGCATGTAAAGCACTTTGTGTGATTGGCAACCTGCTGAATTGCATTGCCAACTGGCTTCCTGGTTGTTGTATGTTAGTACATTGTCAGCAATGCAGTAATGAATTGAGTTTCAACGAGTCTTAAAAGAAAGTAATTGAGTAAGGGCTAATTTTCTGTAAATTGTGGTTAATAATTTTTTTTCCTCCTTCCCTTTGCCCTCTTCCCCCACCTCCTTTCTCAGACAAAAGCTTATGGCTTTGGATTTGTGAAGATACATGCACCATGGCATGTGCTTTGCAGAGAAGCAGAATTTCTTAAGATTAAGATGCTGACTAAAAAGGTGAGCTTGTCATTTTAAGATCACTAGGTGCCTTGATCAAGATGGCTCCTTTTTGTTGATGAGTTGGGTATCTCAGCAATGCTACTAAATCAATATTCAAGAGGCAAAAGAAGATATAGGGATAAATCCTTTTTTTAAAAAAAAGGTATTTACTTCATAAAGTCTGAGAATATTAATGGAATCTTGACTAAAACTTGTGAATCTAAATACACTCCTCGTTCTAGTCTAGACATCATCTGTGTCTCCTCCAAATTTCACCTTCAACTAATGTCACTGAAAACAAAGAACCAACATGTCAAACTCCAAACCTTAACTCTGTTTTTGTCTCCGCTGTTGGACCTGCTAAGTTTTTCCAGCACGTGCTTCCCCTCATTACTCTTTATGGGATCTTGCTGTGCATGAAGAATCAGTATTCACCTAGGCGACTACTACAATGGCATTCTAAAAGTAATTCATTGACATGACGGGTCGTTGGAATCTCAGAACTATAAAAATTAAAGTTCTTTGATTTTGTTGCCTACAAAAGAAGAGGAACAAGAATGCTGCTCTGTTTGGCTGTTCACGAGGGATCTGGCATCCACCTGTCACTTAAGTTTTAGTCACTTTCTTATCAATGCCAGGTATTTTTCTTTAATCAATGTACCTGTTGCTTATGCTTATGAGGAACCAGCATGGTTTCTGTTAAAGAAATTGGTTTCTGTAATCTTTGGGGAAAGACGAGGCAAATTTTTGACATTTCTCCCAATAAAATTAATTTATTTTCTTCAACTTTAGGCAACCACACATCCTAATGCTGAGCTAATTCTCTTACATGACTATATCTCGCTGATCACATTAGTAGTCTGCTATTTTGACAGCCACACAGTACAATGTTTTGGTTTAAACTGATGCTTGACCATTGGATCCTAACTCTCCTTTCTTTTAAATACGAGAGTTAGATCCAAGTCCACTTGATGCAAATTGTAGGTCCATCTGTCTAACCTTACTGTACCACTGTGCCTTCGTAGAGAGGCGCACATCAATAATTCAAAAGTAGGAGAATCTTAATTGCATCAGACTGTTGCATTTATCCCTTTTGTTAACCACTTGGGGACAAATCACATTTGCCGCAAGTCTAGTGTCGTGTAGGTTAGACCGTGTAAAGATGGCGGATTTCCTCTCTCTAAGGCATTAGTAAACCAGATGGGGTTTGATGGAAATCAGTCATACCTTAATGGTCATGTTACTGAGCCTAGTATGACTTATTTTGTACTTCCAGATTTATTTAAGTTGAAACAGTTGCCAGTGAATCTCTAGTGCAGTCTGGTGGAATTCAACCCATTTCCCCAGAACGTTACCAGGGCCCCTGGATTAGCAATCTAGTGACATTACCATCACCTTCCCCAAAATGCTTAATATTTACACAAAATTAGACCTTACCAATTAATTAGTTTAATGAAAATGAAAGATCATTTATTTAAGGAATTGTCCATTAATTTTACCTGAACCATTCTTAAAGCTTTATGCTCTAAATAAGCATATGTTTGTTTGGAATATTGACTGAGATTCAGTATACAAACTAGCAGGTTACAGTTCACCTTTCCCAAAGGCTGGTATTTTGCTTGCATGTGCACTCTCTCTACATTTGGAGATAACTGTGAATAGCAACATGATTCCCAGCTGCTTCAGTTGCTGTTGGCACAGTTTCCAGTTAATTCTTGGTTTCATCTGTAGGTTTCCCCAATTGCTTTGCTATTTCATGCCATTGGTTTTTTGTTGTTTTTGGGATATTCCTGCTGCCAGCAATCCTCCTTGAACCAGCTGTGCACATTTGTAGTCTTTGAAAGATAACTTAACAAAGAGCTGGTTAAAATACCCAGAAAGGAAAAAAGATTGAGGGCTGAGGGAGGAGATAGATATATATTAATGATAAACAAAGATGATGAGTAAAAGTAAAGTGCAGCCAAATAGAATGTTTAAAAACTGCTAAAATTAGATGATGCTTTGGTGGGAAGGGGAAAGGAAATTAATTTGTCAACTTTGTTTGTAGGGATCTTCACTTGCAATTGGGGAAACAACTTTCACTTTCAACTTCAAGACGATTGTGATTTCAAAATATTTACTTTTGAAGTACTATCCCACACTAACAGCAGTGTAATGCTAGACAACAAGGTGCAGAGCTGGATGAGCACAGCAGGCGAAGCAGCTGATCAGATAACCTTTGCTTCACTGATTGAGGGACATGGGTCAGCTCAGACACCAGCAGCTCTTGGCAATAATAGTGCCACAAGTTGGTTTGGGCCCAGTTGATAGGGCAGTCAGTTTAATGTCTCACCTGGCAGCACTCCCTCCATTTTTGAGCAGGAGCACAAGCCTTGATTTGTGTTCAAGTCTCTGGTGTAGCGCCTGAAGCCGCTACACCGCTGCCAACTGAGCTCATTCGGTCCTTGCCATTTTGATAGATTCCATTCTGCTGAAAACACTTTAAGCAACTTTGAGTTTTTTAGCAACTTGGTCAGGGCCTGTCACCCTCCCAACATGTAGGCAGATCATAACAAACGTGAACGTGGACACTGTTCATGTTTTAAAGGCCCTTTGGCAGTGATTTGATGCAAGTTTAGATTCGCAAAATGCAGTGCATGGTTAAATTGATTTGTTACCTGTATTCTGCATTCTATCTGCCCCCCAGTCTCTGAATCGGCGAGGAGAGTAGGCTTTCTCCTTCTAGATGCAATATTTAGTTGTGACTTAAATATCTGATCAGATCAGCATTAATAGATTAGCTCCTGAATACCATATTGATTTAAATTCCTGAAAAATAAAAAATTCTTAATCTAGTGAATGAAGAGACAAAGCTCAGGTACTGAACTTTATAAATCTCATTCAGATTTTAGTAAATTTACATTGGAAATGACCATAGTAATATGCTGATGTAGACTTCAGGTTAGATTTTGTAGCAGCAGTAAAGCAACTTATCACCTGACTCTGAACAAAGCTGTTCTTACACATTTATTGAACTATTTAATGGATTTTCCCCTTTCCTGATGTCTGTTTGGACCTGACACCAAATCAACAACTCTCCAGGCATCTAGCAACAAAAATGTCATCAAGCAGGATAAGCTGCCTGTTGCTTTAAAGTTTTAAAAAAAGAAATTTTAAATGTTAGCCAAATTAATTCCTCACATGCATGGAATTAAGCTGAAGACTAAAATATCAAACTTCACAATCCACATTTATCATCCCTTTAAGTTATGGATTCGTTTGACACTCAACAAACAAAATTACCCATCCCTTTTAGGGTCAGAGAGGCCATTTGGCAGTAGTTGTGTAGTTTGTACAATGTTTTAAAAACCCAGTCAGATCAGTGACAAGGCACAATTTAACTTTTTTTTTAAAACAATGAGACTTGCAACATTAATGAAATTGTAGTCAGTTCAATGATTAGTTGTAGAGTCTAGGATGCACCTGAACATTTTAATTTTTCTCCAGATTGTGCAGGCACTAATAGCAACTTATAGATTTCTACATTGAATGGTGCATGCATGAACTCAAGTTGCTGATTGTTTGAGGGTAAATGAGGGTTGCACCATCACTACTGCAAAATCCAGGCCAATATGGTCAGGGAAGATAATATTTCTACACTTATACTAACTTTTCAACATAAGAACATAAGAATTAGGAGCAGGAGTAGGCCGTCCGGCCCTTCGAGCCTGCCCTGCCATTCAATAAGATCATGGCTGATCTTTTCGTGGACTCTGATCCACTTACTCGCGTTCTCACCGTAACCCTTAATTCCTTTATTGTTCAAAAAAAATCTACCTTTATCTTTAAAAATGTTTACTGAAGTAGCGTCAACTACTTCACTGGGCAAGGAATTCCATAGATTAACAACCCTCCGAGTGAAGCAATTCCTTCTCAATTCAGTCCTAAATCTGCTCCCTCTAATTTGAGGCTATGCCCTCTTGTCCTAGCTTCACCTGCCAGTGGAAACATCCTCTCTACTTCTATCTTCTCTATTCCCTTCATAATTTTATATGTTTCTATAAGATCTCCCCTCAATCTTCTGAATTCCAATGAATGTAATCCCAATCTACTCAGTCTCTCCTCATAAGCCAATCCCCTCAACTCCGGAATCAACCTAGTGAACCTCCTTTGCACCCCCTCCAGTGCCAGTACATCCTTTCTCAAGTAAGGAGACCAAAACTGCACACAGTACTCCAGGTGTGGCCTCACCAGCACCTTGTACAGCTGCAACATAACCTCTCTGCTTTTAATTTCAATCCCTTTAGCAATGAAGGACAAAATTCCATTTGCCTTCCTAATTACTTGTTGTACCTGCAGACCTACCTTCTGTGATTCATGCACAAGGACACGCAGGTCCCTCTGCATAGCAGCATGCTGCAACTTCTTACCATTTCAAGTAATAATCCTTTTTACTACTACTCCTACCAAAATGTATGGCTTCACATTTATTTATATTGTATTTCATCTTGGTCAAATTTTACCTGAGGATATAAGGTACTAGTTCACTGTTTAATTGCCATGGAGTTGCTTAATTTACTTCTAATTCTTCAGGTCTATGAAGTAAAGCAGAAAACTGGGATCCTTGTGAAACTTTCTAACGTTGTGCATAAAATGACTTCGCCATTGCGACCAAAAGTGGATGAACAAAGTGATGCTGCGTTTAAGCACCTTTCTTACCCCTTCTCCAGAGAAAAGAAGCACTTGTAAGTTTCATCAGACAGTTAATGTTGTATAGTTCTGTTTTTATTATTTAGGTGTAGGTGTCTCTGGCTAGTCAAGCATTTCTTGCCCATCCCTAATTGTTCAAGGGCAACAGCATTGTTCTGAATTTGGAGTTACCATGTTAGGACTGCAGATTCCTTTCCATAAAGGACATTAGATAATTTTTAAAAATTATCTGATTCATGATGATGGTTACATGGTCACTTATTAGGCCAGATTTTAATTCCAGATCTTTTACTGAATTCAAATTCCACCATCATTATAGATGGTCCTGTTGAGCTGGTCATACTTCTGGTCTGGAGGTGTCAAAGGTTGAACAGTTTTCTGCTCACCCTGTAAGTTAGCTCCACTCCAGAGTGGAGCTTCATGAAGGTGGAATGTAATGTGGGAATCTGAGAATCTCATGGTACAGAAGAGGCCCTTCAGCCCATCAAGTGTGTACAGTCAAAAATACACTCACAGCACCAGTCCCATTTTCCTGCCTTGAATGGTATGACACTTAAAGTGCTCATCCGAGTTTGAGGTTTCCCAGGCAGTACATTTCGGATTCCCGCCACCCTCTGGTTGAAAAGTATTTTTCCCCTCCCAATACCCTCACTTTAAAATGATGTCCTCTTGTTCTTTCTTTACCCTCCAACTGTTACAGTCCGAAGGGTGGCAAAATGTGATGACATCAGCTTGATGCAGTATGTGCTCATGGTGGGTCTGTCTGTAAGGAGCATTGTGTTGTAGGCAGAGAATGGTGACATGTTTCTGCTAGTGGCTGAACTTGATATTCCACAACCCCTCATGGCTGACAGTTGAAGAGGGCCTTTGTGAGATTGAAGTAGGAGTTGGGTTAGTTCCATGCACCTTTTGTTGGGTTGGTCACTGAAAGCGGAGTCACCAAGCAATGCAATCGTGAGTTTTAAACCTCTTTAAATGCAACTCTAGAATTTTATATTTGTGCTTTCAGCTGAGCCTGTAAGAGTATTCCATGCAGTCTGTAATTACCGAAGACGACGCTATATATACAAACAGATCTTGTCGGAGGTCTTCCTGCAATTTGTTGTCTCTGTATGAGAGCTCTTGTTGAAACGGTGCCTGTGCTGAGAATATCTCCTATGCCCTGCAGCTCAAAAGTCAATTCCACTGTACCTTAAAGTGAGAGCTGATAACTGCTCGGTCACTACAGAATTGGGCCATCACAGATATTGGTGAATGACTAGACAAGAGATCAATCTCCTTAATCCAAACAAGATTGAAAGGAAGAAGCAGAGTTCAAGGCCGTGAAGGATATATTGCAACTAAATTAGGAGTAATAAGAAGGGGGGGCTAGAATGGAGAGATGAAGGAAAGTACAAAACACCTTTTTAAAATCTAAAGAGTTCATTACATTCAAAAAAAAATGAAGCTCAGTTTAAACATTTTTGCTCCTGCATGAAAGAAATTTTTGCCATTTTGTTAATGCACAGTGCAGGTTTGTTTAGAGGTTAAAATAAAACTTTCCCCACAGATGCTGCTCGACCTGCTGAGTTTCTCCAGCACTTTGTTTTCGTTTAAAGGCTGCTTGAGCTGTTAGCTTAGAGTCCTGATTTCCTGGTCTAGGTTCAGTGGTCAATTGGTGTAAATTGAGCAGGTTCTTGAGAATAACAGCAATGCTGCAGGGCAAGATGCAAGGCTTACGATGACCTGGCATGAAGCTGATTATTTTTAAGATGCAGATCTGGGGGTGGGGGGGGGTGTCACCTGCTGAACTTGCTGTTTGTACACTTAATGCCAATATTCGCCTGAATCTTGCTACTTGCCCGGGGAACCACCTTCGCCCACTTCTGTCTCCCTAAAAGAGACAGATTACATTTCTGAGCTCACTCAGAGCTGGTACAGCAGCAGTTCCAGGTTAAATTTCCTCCGTAATTCAACCCAGATAAGCTGTGGCCCAGCTGATGAACCTTTCCCCTTTTATCCCATTCTAAAACAGCACTTCTCTTTCGCCTTTATTTTATATGTGAACTAGTTCCTCTCTTCAAAAGTATTTCTTAAAGTTAATGCGAGCAAAGAGGAAACTTTTGGATAAAACCAGCCAACAAGAAAGCCACCAATTTTCAGAGTGAATTGTAAATGAGTAAAGGAAATTTCTTGCCACCTGACGTGGAAACTCAAAGGAAGGAGAATGCGCATTGTTGTAGTCATGTCATGAATTTAAAATGATGTGAAAAGAAATCCATTGAAAATCCTTTCCCCCTTCCTTAACAGCAGATGAGAAGTTACTGGTGATGAGACTAACAGATAAAAGCTTAAAGCCTTCATGTGATAGCATCTAACTGGATCATTGTGTGTTAAAATAGCATGCGCTCACTCACAGAAACAGCTTGTGCACCAGAGGCATTCCTAACCTACTCCAGTCTTTACAGTATGGCATTGAAATATTCAGGGCTATGCTGCCAGACCTGCTGAGCTTTTCCAGCAACTTCTGCTTTTGTTTCTGATTTATAGCATCTACAATTCTGAGTTTTTATAATGTATGTTTTGATTCTTGTACTGTTTACTTCCATCTCTATTGCCTTGTTTGCTCTGGTTATCTCTTAGGTTGTCTAGCTTGGGTGAAGTGGGCTGAACAGGATGGTATCTGTCCTGAAGTGGTTAATATTAATGTTACTGGCTCCACCCATTCCACTGATTTGTCACCATTCACAGATTGAGACACGGGAGCTCTCCTCCCAGTTTTTGGAGGGAGCAAATATATATGTACCAACTCCCTAAGGTCCTAGACATTTTTTTGCCTGAACAGTGTGGTTGTACTTATTGCCTTCTGCAATAAACTTTTGTTCAGAACAGATACTCTGCAGTGATGTATTCTCTACCACTAACACCAAGATAGACTAAAAGATACAAAGGAGCATTGTTGAAATCAAACAACCTCCAGACAATCCTTACCCAGTACTCCAGTGGTAGAGGAGACCAATACAATAAGGTACCGGGAGTGGACATCTGAGGAAGTGTGTCCATCAGAGCAATGTGATGTAGTGACCATTGTACATGTTCTCTATTTAGTAACTGCAGCCTGGGTTAACCCAGACAGTTCAAGTTAATATCTGGTTTCAGTTCATTTGAGAGCTGGAGTTTTGGCAGCACCATTTGCAATCAGAAGTTGTAAAGTCTGGGCTGGTGACAAGATCTGTGTGAGAGAGAAGCCAGAGCTATACACTTAACCCGAGTCTATGATCAAGAGATTAGTGTCCATGGCTTTATTAACAGGGGCATAGAGTACAAGAAAAAGGTGATGTTGAGCTTATCACTTGTTCGACCTCGGCTGGAGTATTGTGCACAGTTTTGGATACTACATTATAGAAACGATATGGACAGGTTAAAGAGAATGCTGAAGCAATTCACAGAAAAGCTCAAGGAATGGGAAACTTCAGTATGAGGATACATTGAAGGAGTTAGGACTGTTTGCCTTGAAGCCAACAAGGCTGGGAGTAGATTTTGACAGAAGTTCTCAAAAATGATAAACAGCATGGATAGTGCAGTTAGGGAGAAGCTGTTCCCATTTATAGAGAAAACAACACGAGGGCATAGGTCTAAAGTGAAATGAAGCAGCAATGATAACTGTTTCATTGAAGGGGTATTGGATGGTTATTTATAGTGAAATGGTGTGTAGGGAAAAGGCAGAAGTTTGGCACCAGATAATGGAATCAGTGCCAAATGGCCTCCTGCACTGTAACAATTGTGAGATTCTGTGATGGGCTAGGTGAAGAGAAGTCCTCTTATTGAGGGGGTTTCAGAACAAAGGCAGTTTTAAATTGAGCTAGGTCATTTAGTAATAAAATATTCCTTTAAATGCTGAGGATAGTGAGAATTTGAAACTAGCTATCATTACATTGAAAATTCCAAGACCAAGTTTGATTTTTATTGGATAATGAGCTATGCAATAAAGACTAGAGTGAAGGTACAGGTCAGATGTAATTAAATGTGCAACAATTTAAGGCTAAATGACCAGCTGTTCTGATGTTAAGTGGTAGCTGAAATCTGGTGTAGGATGGAGCCTGGTGTGCCGTGATGTAGCACAGGAGTTGGGTGCTGGATGCCTTATTATTCACGATAGATATAAATCTGATACAGAACAGAATGTGGGGGTGATGGTACCTTTGTGGATGATCTGAATATTGGCCAAAACATTAACAGTGAGGAAGGTGGTCTTGGGTTACAGAGGATATAAACAGATTGGCCACGTTGGCAGATCAGTGATAGATGGAATTTAACCGTGTAAAGTGAGATGAAGCATTTTGGCAAGGGGATACTCCATTAAAGCCAGGACGCTGGGAAGCTCAGAGGGACTTTGGAATGCTTGTCCACAGATCCCTGAAGGTGACAGGGCAAGTTAAGGCAAATGGGATACTTACCTTTTATTAGTCATGATGACGTAAGAGCAGGGAAGTTATATTGGAGCTATGCAGAATGGTCAGGCTGCAGCTGGAGTACTCTGCAGTTCTAGTCACCACACTAGAAAGGATATGATTGCACTGGATGGGGTGTAAAGGAGATTCACAAGTTAACTCTGTTTTTTCCTTCATAGATGCTGCCAGACCTGCTGGGCTTTTCCAGCAATTTTGTTTTTGGTCCTGATTTACAGCATCCGCAGTTCTGTCAGTTTTCACAAGAATGTTGCCTGGGATGGAGCGTTTCAGTGATGGAGAGAGGCTGGACAAACTTGGGTTGTTTTCTTTGGAGCGGAGAAGGTGTAAGGGGGATCTTAGAGATGTATAAGATTGAGGAGCGTGGATAGAAAGCAGCTGTTCCCTTTAATTGAAGGGTCAATAATTAGTCATGTGCAACTTTCCCCCTCAGCTGTGTAGCCATTCTGAGTATTGACCATCGTTTTTGGAAGTCAGTCCCAGACCTCTATGGCAGAGAGAATATCAGTCATGCAGAGACCAGACTGCATTAGGATAGTGGATCTCTTTTTATCCAAAGGATATTAGTGAATCAGATGGGTTTTTAAAAGCTAAGCTAATGGTGACCATGTAGCTATTGTAATGAATTCAAATTTCACCATCTCCTGTGGTAGGATTTGAACACACATCCCCAGAATTTTACCCTGCGGTTCTGGGTTACACTTGCAGTAATGTCTACACCAAGCCATCATTTCACTCTAATCTAGAAAATAGCTTGGTTGTTGTTTTAATCACTTAAGCTTGTTCTTTATTCTTCCCTTTTTTAGATTTGATCTTTCGGATAAGGATAACTTCTTCAGCAGTACAACAAGAAGCACAATAGTGAGTATTAAAACGGACTTTGGGCAAATGATATCTAATTGCTTTTTTACAATCAGTCATCCTTGTGATGTCCTGCATGAGTTTTGGAATGGTTTGATCTGAAGGACTTTCCATCTAACTTAGCTCCTCCTCCACCTGCTGTGTACGGTCTCAATGTGCGCAATCTGGAAACATTGGAGTTACCTCCTTGCCTACATCGTATTTGATTCTTGCTTGGAAATTAGGGTTTAAATTTGAGTTCCTCTAATTATGCTTCATAAGTTTTATGTTCCAAGAATTGATCACGTTGCTTGGCATAGATTGAAGTTTGGCTTGGGAACTTATTCCAGATGATCTGTTTTGGATCAAACTGATTTTTATGGCCTTAAAAGAGGCAAAAAGGTAGAAATACAGCTTGTGTAATTTGCTCCCTGGTTGTCGTCTTGATAGATTGACCTAAAGGTAATCATAAACATGTGAACCTGTGAAGTGTTCAATAAAATTGTTTAATCTACAGTGCAGATTCTGTCTTGGTCATGCGTGCTGATGTTAGAGGTATTTGGCTTCTGTTCAGGGGTGAAAAGTTACTGACTGAAGTAGAATTTTAGACAAACTAAAACATGATTAAATTTGAAAGTATAATTTAAGTTTATGGGTGAATCAACTTCCTTTTAAATGAAAATAGGGATGTTACATTTTTGGATCACTGGGGGATGGTCTGCAACTGAACTGCTTTGGGACCAACATTTTTGCAGGTAGGTTTGCAAAATGTTGGGAGGAGTTTAAACTAGTCTGGCAAGGGGAGGCGTCACAGTATTAATGAAACAGACACATCATGCTCCAGCAAAGGAAGCAAGTCACAGTGAGTTCAGCTATGTTGAGTGTCAAGAGAGTAAGACAAAGTGAGGGTTGTAATAGGTACGACTGATGAGTTAATGGCATGGATTGACACATTTATGATACTGTTGCCATCACAGAAACACAGTTAAGGGAAGGGCTGGACTGGGAACTTAACATTCCAGGGTGTATGATCTTTAGGCTAGAGAGAGGAGGGTGTAAGAAGGGTGGTAGTGTAGCACTATTAATTAAGGAGTCAATTAGAAGGGGTGGATTCCCTGAATGTATCCAGGGGAGTTTTTTGTATCAATAAGTAGAAGGCCCGACAAGGGACGGCATAGTGCTGGGTCTGGCTGTGGGGAAAGAAGCTGGACAGGTGTTGGATGTGGCAGTGGGGGAATATTTAGGCAGCAGTGACCACAAGGCGGTACAGTTCAAATCTATTCTGGACAAGGAAAAAGATGACCCTCGAGAGACTGCTCTGAATTGGTGGGGGGAAGGCACACTTAATTAAAATAAAGCAGGATCTGGCCACGGTTGAGTGGGAAACAGCTCCTTGTGGGTGAGTTCACTGCGGAGTAATGAGGGGACATTCAAAAAGGAGCTGGGAAGAGTACAGGTCCAATATGTATCCTTTACAGGGAAATATTGGAGCAATAAGTTCTTTGGCCTTTACTCTAGAAAAGGAGAATGTAGGCATGGGATTCAGGAGAAGGGACTATGAAGAACTTGCAAAGTTTGACATTGGAATTAGGGAGGTATTGGAGGATCTGTTGTGCCTAAAAACAGACAAATCCCCTGACCTGGATGAATTACATCCCAGGTGATTTAAGTGACTGAAGGCTGGTGTCCAGTAGTGTACCACAAGGCCTCAATATTGACTTGACCAGCTTCAAAATCCCTCCACCCTCAGCCTTGTCCAGCCCTCACCTCCACCTCCCCCCTCACCTCCCTGACCTGACCTAACCTAACCTTTCCATCTTCCTACTTATCCATCCACTCCACCGTTCCCACTGACCAATCACAATAACCCCCAAGCTGCATCCACCTATCACCATCACACCTACCCTTTCCCTCAGCCGTCCCCCTCCCCAGTCCTGACCACAGGTTTCGGCCCAAAATCTGACTTTCCTCCTGCTCGGAAGCTGTCTGACCTGTTGTGAAGCTGGAAAAGCACATCTAGTGACTCTGGCTTCCAGCATCTGCGGTCCTCACTGTCTCCAGATTAGTACTGGGACCTTCATTGTTTGTTATATACATAAATGATAGATATGAAAATGTTGGGGGGAGGGGGAGTGTTAAGCAAGTTTGCAGGTGACACTATGATTGGTAGAGCAGTTAATAGCAAAAATAATGATTGCAGGTTATAGGAAAATATAGATAGGTTGGTCAGATGGGCAGATCATTGGCAGATGGTATTTAACCCTGATAAGTGTGAGATGATGCAGCTTGGAAGAAACAAGATGAGCGAGGTTTTTAATGAATGGCAGGACACTGGGTAGCTTATAAGAACGGAGGGATCTTGAGGTAATTATTCACAGATCCCTGAAGTTGGAAGAGCATGTGAATAGGATAGTTAAGATGGTATATGGGATACTTGCTTTCATCAGTTGTGGCATAAAGTGTAAGAGTGAGGAGGTAATGTTGGAGTCAGAGAGCATGGGTCATGTACACAGTTCTGGTAACCTCACTTCAGGAAGGATGTGATAGCATGAGAGGGGGTACAGAGGAGGTTCACTAGGATGTTGCATGGGATGAAGAAATTGAGCTACAAGAACCTAGGTTTGGATTGTTTTCTCTAGAGCAAAGAAGGCTGAGGGTGGGACATGGTGAATAGAGAGCAGCTGTTCCCCTTGGTCGAGGTATCAATCGTGAGAGGGTGTAGTTTTAGGGTAAGTGGCAGGAGATTTGGAAAAAACATTTTCACTCAGTGGGTGGTGGGAATCTGGAATGCATTACCTGGGAAGTTAGTGGAGGTTGGAAACCTTACAACATTAAATATTTGGATGAGTACTTCAAATACCATAACATCCAAGGATATGGAAAAGTGCAGGAAATTGGGATTAGTGCACATTTAGTGGTTATGTTGGCTCGATGGGCCAAAGGGCCGATTCTACTCTAAGAATCTCTTGAAAAATGTTTTCTTTTAAACCCACTGACAGCTGTTTGTCTATTGTTTTGGTAAGTGATATATTTGATAAATATCTGGTGTACAACTGCAAAATGAATCCAGCTTACTAAATGACTCCATCACACATGTTCACTCTTTCATATAGAATATTTACTGTATATATTCTGAAGGTACTGCTTTGCTTTGTATGCCTTTTTTGAATAAGGAATTCAAGCTGTGTGACTTGGCAGAGACTCAATGGGCCAAAAGGCCTCTTCTGTGCTGAGAAGCTGGAATTAGAAAGTACTGGCTAAAAGTATTACCTAGGTAGATACAAGAATATGATCAAGCTTGGTGTACTCATGAAGTTATGGTTTTGCAGTTAAGGAGGGCCACGAGGAGTATGTGACTACTGCTTTCAATTACACAGAGCAGGACTGGGATATTTAGGAGAATGATTTGATTGATTGTGCATGTGAGCTTAATTATTTCAACTGGATTGTGTAGAAAGTATCAAGAGTCCCACTTGGTATAAAACAGGGTCAACACAGGAAGGATGTTCCTGATGACCAATGAGCCCAGAAACAAGGTTGCAGTCCAAACGAACAAGTGAAAAAGTACAGCACAGGAACCGGCCCTTTGGCGTGCACACACCTCCCTCCACCCCCCCAACCCACCCAACATGCCCTTTTTAATCTAAAAACAAACCTGCCTTTTTTGATCCATATTCCTCTATTCCCTTCCTATTCATGTACCCACCTAGGTGCCTCCTAAATGTCTTCAATGTGCCGGCTTCCACCATCTCTTCTGGTAGTGCATTCCAGGTTCCTACCACTCTCTGCGTGGAAAAACGTCCCCCTCTGACCTTGAACCTGTGCCCCCTTGTAATTGAGACTTCAGTCCTGGCAAAAAGCCTCTGACTATCCACCCTATCTATGCCTCTCATAATTTTGTAGACCACTATCAGGTCTCCTCTTAGCTGTTGTCTTTCCAGTGAAAACGTTCCTGGTCTTTTTAACCTTTTCCTCATGGTCAATGCCCTGGAGACCAGGCAACATCCTCAAGGTACAGGGTAGGCCATTTAAGACTGAGATGAGGAGAAATGTCCTCACCCGAAGGGTGAGCCTGTGGAATTCTTCACTATAAAGTAAAGCCCTCGAGGTTGAAACATTAAATGTTTTCAGGGAGGAGTTAGATACAGTTATTAGAGCTAAAGGGATCAACCGAAAGGGGGAACAAGGGATGGAGTTGGATGATCAGTTGTGATCATATTGAATGGCAGAGCAGACTCGAGACTGAATGGCCTATTCTTATTTTCTATGTTTCAGTTTGCAACTTGAGGGCAGAGTGAGGTTGATACACTTTGCATAGGATAATGGACTTATCAACTAAGTTGCTGACTTGTAGTTTGATTATTTTTATTCATCCTATAGCCGGACTTGTTTCTGACTGGAGTAAAGATCATAAGAGGTGTGTACCCTGTAATACAAGTCCAGGTCATTCTGATTTTTTGGTCTATTTTGATACCTTTTTGAAGGTGATTAAGATTTTCCAATGCGTTTTTTTTGGCCACATTTGGGTCTGTAATCTGCTTAGCTAGGTGACTAAGGAGAGACTTTTACCAGGAGATGTAATAACAGTATGGAACAGGAACAAACATAAGAGCAGGAGAAGGCATCCCACTCTGTTGAACCCTTTGATTTGGGTCAAAATCCTGTAACACTCTCCTGAAGAGTATTGCAGATGTACCTACACCAAATGGATTGCAGTGGTTCAAGAAGGCAATTTATCACTACCTTGAGCAACTAGGGATGGGAAAAATTTAGAAAATCCCTTTGAGCCTTCCCTGCCATTCAATGTGATCATAGCTGATCAAATACATCAATGCCTTTTATTCACACCATCTACATCACTGTACACTATTGATAATCAGAAATCTATCAGTTTCCCCCCTCAGTCAGACTCTAAGACTGAGTTTCCACAACCCTGTGGTCGGAAAGATAGATTGGAGCTTTCCTTTTGCATCAACTTATGCGTAAATGATTTGTGCATGTTAAATAAAATGTACCTTTCT